GGTGTGCAACAGGAGGTCATGCAAGGGCGGACACTATCCCCTGGGTCATGTAATGGGCCTGCTCTGGGACTGAACAGAAGCTGACTAGATCAAAACTGGGCTGGGATGTTAGAAACCCAGCCTCTGCTGGGCCAAGAATTCTGGACTGGAGAAGGCAATTTCCCCATTGCCCTCCAGGTCTTTGACCCTCAGCCCCTGGGAAAAGGCAAGGGGATATCCTGATAGAAGTCACTGGAAAAGCAGTATCCGGGGCTGTGATGACGGATGTTTTCCTGCTTCCTTTTGGTGATGCTGGAAGGGAGAGGCTGGGAAGGGAAAGGCTTCCCAGGTGGATAGCTTTGATAACTCTCCTTAACTGTCCTTTCAGAGGAAGTGAGAGAAGTTCTTTTCCTACTTCCCAGTTCCCTGGGTACCCAACCATCAGAAAGTACCCTGAAAGGTAGCTGACGCCAGTCTTTTCACTTCCCCACCTGTGGGGAGAAAACAGCTGCTGGTTGCCTTGGAAATGGCCTAGGTGGCCTTGACTTGAGACCCCACTGTGCAGTCTTGACAGAGAACTACTTCAGGAGAGCAGCTGAGAAGCAGGGTACAAGGACTTATGACCAGTATTCAGGGCAGTTTCCTCTGGGATGCCTAGGCTATCTGTAGGGGCTGGCCTGAACTCCATGGGTCCTGGGTGAGCCTTGGAAAGCATGTAGTGTATGTTCTTTGAGTTTCTCTTACTTGGCCACAAGCATTTAAACTAAAGCAAAAGGGGCAAGGAGGAGGCTCTGACAGGCTTAATTAAGGCTTAAGGGTGGATGCCATCCATAGGCTATGCTAGCAGGCCCTGAGGAGACTGCTACACAGGTATATAGCCTTTTTTCTTTTCCAGTATTAGTCATTTTTTTTTATCTTGATGGAAGACCCAGGGATACTTATTTTTCTGCCAGCTGTCCTTTTATTAAAAAGCATGAATCATGAGGAAGTAGTCATGCAAGGAAACTTTATCCTTTGCCCACCCACCTACCCATAGAGGCCAGTGCTGGAATGAACAGAATATAGCAGGAAATGCACAGAAGTGAGGGTGTGTTTGTATGGAACCTCATCTCTGAGGAGCCTAGTGAGGAGGGGCTCCTGGCTCTGTTACTGGAGCTTCCTCAGTTCCACTTCCATCCCTGGCTTGAAGGACCCTGATGCCTGCTATTAAGGCACCGAAGAATATTGTCCCTGCCAGTGAAACCAAACCACCTTTTGAAACTTTCCACTGAGGCCACCTTGGAGGTAGAGCCAGGGAGCTCAGGTCTCTGCCTGGTAACCCTCACCTGGGGGCAAGACATACAGGTAAGAAAATGGTAACCCTCACCTGGGGGCAAGACATACAGGTAAGAAAAACACAGGAAGTGGGGCAATAATATTTGCGTGGTGACTGGTTGGAAAGACAGACTTGGGAGTCCAGGAACCTAATTTAATTTTTATTTATGTATTTATTTTTTGGTCTTTTTGAGACAGGGTCTCCCTGTAGACCCAGCTGGCCTAGAACTCTCTGTGTAGACCAGGCTGGCCTTGAACTCACAGAGATCCACCTGCCTTTGCCTTCCAAGTGCTGGAGAGGCATACGCTACCACACCCACCTAGAACCTAATTTATTTTACTTTATTTTTTTGAGATGGAGTCTCAGTAGGTTGCCAAGACTGAATTTCAACTCATGGGTTCTAACCTCAGCCTTCTCAGTAGTTGGGGACCCCAGGCTCCTAACATAATTCCAAGACCTCATAGGGTATCTCTGCATGCACATGCAGTCTCTCCATAAAACATGGAGGTAGTAATAATGAGGATAAGCTAACACTTTCTAGGTGCCTTGTGTGAAAGCCCCCCACCCTCTCTCTTTCTCTCTCACTCTCTCCTCTCCCTACAGGGTCTCCCAGCTGGCCTAGAACTCTCTGTGTAGACCAGGCTGGCCTTGAACTCACAGAGATCCACCTGCCTTTGCCTTCCAAGTGCTGGAGAGGCATACGCTACCACACCCACCTAGAACCTAATTTATTTTACTTTATTTTTTTGAGATGGAGTCTCAGTAGGTTGCCAAGACTGAATTTCAACTCATGGGTTCTAACCTCAGCCTTCTCAGTAGTTGGGGACCCCAGGCTCCTAACATCATTCCAAGACCTCATTCAAAATTCTGACCTTGTTGTTTATGTAAATTTGAGCCAGTTTTAAATCTTGCTTAATCTTTCTGATAAAATGGGAGGATGGGCAGCTGGCTTGGAACTCTGTGGTCCTCCTGTCTCAGCCTTCTAAGGCTGTAGAGACTCGATTTTTAAAGCATCCTGGGGATGGAGTGAGGAAATGTGACAGCAGAATACAAAACTGAAAGCACAGGACAAATGTGGCGGCATCTGTGTAACAACTTACCCCCCCCCCCCCTTTAGATGACATGGGGTTTAGTCAAAAGGAAGAAGCCGGGTCTGGGACCTGCATGGTTCCATCCCTGGCCAGCTGCAGCAGGGCACTCTCCCTGCCCACCTCTGGTCATTGTTAACTGGCTTGCCTCCTATCTCCAGCATCTCCAAGGCCATTGCTTTGTTTCCTAGTGGAAAGGAGCTGGGAAATGTGTCTCTGGCCAGCTAGGGAGAAGGAGCCTTTTCTGTGTTCCAGCAAAGACCCAATTGTTACCGAAACCAAACTGGGCTGCTTTTCTCAATTATCTCTACTGCTTTTCTGGTCTCCAGTTTTTAGATGCCAAGTTTTAACCCAGAACAAAAGCTGCTGTCCGACTGATTTATAATCCAGATCTGCTGACGGGGTCTAAAGTGTTCCTCCCCTCTAAGACTGTCCCTTGCTTAAAGTTACTACGGAAGCCTCCTGGCCACCACTTCCCTTCACCCCTGTTCTTTGACTCTGGCTATGGGTAGCACTGGTTTCCAGGTGCCCGTGGGGCAGCTTTCCTGAGGTGGTTCTGTCCACCTGCCCAGCTTGAGGACCAGCTGGCAGGAAGGAGGACTTGCCAGCCAGCACCGCCCAGGAGGCCAGAGCTACAAGTTAATTTCCAGGAGCGGCTTGTGGGCGGAGGCTGGAGGTTCTGAAGATGGTGGTGGTTCTTAGCGTGCCTCCCCTCAGCTCCTTTCATACGAACAGTAGGGCTCGTGCCTCTTGTTAAACAGCCTTCCCAGTAGCAGTAGCATGAGGAGTCATTTCCTGGAGTAAGGACTGCCTGGAGCCTGAAAACAAGGAGCTGTCTGGAGACTTGGGCGGGGGGTGTCTTCCCGGCTGTGAGGGGCTCCTAGCAGTAGGGAAGAACCCAGAAAGGAAGAATCTAGGGCCAAAAGACTGACCACTGTGGTCCGCCCCTGAAGAACCTTAAGTTTTCTCTCCTGTTCCCTTCCCTTCGGATACGCGTTCAAAGTGGCTCGCCAGCGTTCGTTCTGGTAACTGGAGCGCGGGGGAGCTCCTCCAGAGCCCAGCCCGCCGCCGCCGGTCTCCAGAAGACACCGAGAAGAACCAGGTGAGTGCGGTTCACCGTGACACTACCTAGAGTCCCTTCTTCACCCCACCTACGGCGCGGTGGCGTAGACCTCGAGTCCCAGGCGCCAGCAGGCCTCCGCGAGCTGCTGGGGTCCCAGAGCCCGGGGCGGGGAGCTGGGGAGGCCGCGGGTCGTGGCGGGTCGCAGCCCCCTCCTTGGCCAGCCTTCGCGTCCCGCCCCCGGCCACCACTTGACAGCCCCCCTCCTGACGTCAGGGGTTTGGGGGCGGAGAGCGGCTGCAGCAGTGGAGAAAGAACCCGCGCCCGGCGCGGTGGAGCTCGGAGCCCGAGCTCAGGGTCGCCCAGGCGTGCTGGGACTGAGGGGCGGAGGCGGGCTGGCGGGCGCGCGCGAACGGGCGCGGCGCAGGGGTAGGGGCGGACCGCGGCCGGAGCTGAACGCGAGGGCGGCGCCCAGGGATTGGAGCTGCGCGGAAGAGGTGAGCGAGGCCGGGCTCGCGTGCTGCGGGGGCCCGGGGGCCACCGCTTTGTCCCCTGTTCGGGCACGGGCTGCAGCGTGCGCTAGGGGACAGCGTCGGGGGGTGCAGGGCGGGGCAACAGTGGAGACTTCTGTCCACCCTGGGTCTTCCCGAAGCCCCTCGCTGGCGATCGGGGGCCGGTCTGGGGATGCGAAGCTAGGGACAGTGGGAGACCCTCGTGCTGTCCGGCGCGCGGCCCCGATCTTCTCCAGGCTCGCTAACTGCTCCCGTTCCCCACCCCCGACGGAAAGTTTGGGGCGGGCTTGGATCTAGGCCGATGTTGTGGGATCAGATTTCCCTAGTGCGGCCCCCCGCCCGCCTGATCTGCTCGGGAGGCGGGTTGGCACCGTGAGCCAGCCCCCTGGCCCGAGCCTGATTGCTCGGTTCCGCGCTGGAGCGCCGCGCTCCGTGACCGACTGCTCTGGGTGTGCAAGTGTGGGGCGTAAAGCCCGGTCCCCGCACCCCTCCATCCCCCTGGTCGTTCGTGTCCCCTGCCTTGGGAAGAGCTGAGGGTTGGGACTCCGCTGCGCGCGCGGATTTTCGGAGTACGCCACTGGGGTCCGACCCGAGCCAGGGGTAATTGGCAGAAGGGAGGCTGAGGGTGTATTAGGGGGACTGCCCCGGCCGCAGCCCCTCGCCCTTCCCGCGCAGGGGCCTGGGCCGACAGGGGGCGTAAGCAGGCCGGGCTCCGCCACGCTCCCAGTGCCGCCGCTTTGTTTGCATTCAAATCCCGGGAGCTGGGGGGAGGGGAGAACCTGTGGTAGGGGGACCGGGACCGGGTCTTGGCTGGGAAGCTTTGTTTTGGGGTGAGGTCCCTAGCGTCTGTGTCCCTCTTCTCGGCCTGGATGTTTGGAGCAGTGGAAATGAGCCCCGCTGGCCCGCCTAGGCCAGGGTCCCCGGGGTGCAATCCTCGAGTTAAGAAGGTTCAGCAGAGCCTGGGAGTGGGGGGGGGCGGTCGGGCGGGGCGCGGACATCCCCTGTGGTCCAGGAGGAACCCCCTCTGTCTCCCGAGCCTGCTTCACTTCCCTCCCCGCCCCCGTTGCCACCACAGAGGGGAGATCCCTGCTTAGCTCTGAGCCTACTCGATTCCCCCTGCCGGAGGGTCAGTGTCTCCTAGAAGGCTGGGTGAGGAACAGGACGGGCCTTGGTCATTTCCACGCCCATCCCACCCACTTCCTGCCTCCCTCTTGGGCAACAAAGGGGCCTCGGGAAGCTGGGTCCCCTTGGTTCCCGGCCCCACTCCCACTCCAGCCCTGCTGATGTGGAACGGGGTTTGGGCTCAGCCCGGCTATTGTCTGCGCTGGGGGAGGGGACAGGCTGGGGCCAGGAACTCTTGCTTGCAGCCTGCTGCACCAAGTCTCCCAATGGGGGGCTTTGCCATCCGTCTGCCCACCTCTTCCGACTAATGGGTATACCTACCCAGATTAGGTCTTGGGGCTGACCCGAATCCCACCGGTAGCAGGTCCTGCTTCTTGGGATTATTTTAAGAAACTCTCAAAGCTTTTAGGCCCGAAGGTGAGAAAAGGGGGTGGGGGTGCTCACTTTTTAATTTTTTTCCACACAACTTCTTGTTGGGGAGAGGGAGTGGGGATGACCTAGAGGCCATAGAAAGCTTTTTTCCATGCCTTATGCTGACTCAGCTCCTCTCCATGCTCCCTAGGGAGACGCCCCCGACCCCCTCAAGGTCTCTGGGGGCAGAGGCTAGTTGTGGGCACTACATCTCCTCCAAAGAGAGGAGCAGAAGGAGGTTCAGGAGCTCCTGGGGAAGTTGTGTTCAGGTGTGTGTCCTGTGTGTTTTGGTGTGGGCCCCCTTCGGGCTGTGATGTTGACCATTTCTTTTCCCTCAGCAGGGCAGCTGGCCTGGAGTTTAGAGCCAGGGCGTTTGCCATGGCCCCACACTGGGCTGTCTGGCTGTTGGCAGCAGGGCTGTGGGGCCTGGGCATTGGGGCTGAGGTGTGGTGGAACCTTGTGCCCCGGAAGACAGTATCTTCTGGGGGTGAGTTTCTGAAGCCCTGGGGGCAGGGGAGGGACTGCTGGGGGACTGGGAATACTTGCTGGAAGGAAGGGGCAGCTGCTGAGGAATTACCCCCACCCCTCAAGCATGCATTACCTTTATTCTGATATGTGTGGCTGTGGCTTTCTAAGAAATATGAGTGGCCCCAGGGACCCAGAACTGGTAGTACAGGTCAGGACATGAGATTTGCCCATGAGATTTGTCCCCTTCTGACACCAGGGTAATTCTGTGGACTCTCGTAGCAACCTCCCCAATCCAGACCTGGCTGTCCTGTGCAGGGGAGATAACTCTTTCCGAGTCACTCTCCCTGTTCCTCACTTGACTTGTCACTGGTGCTTGGAACCTTAGAAAGAGAAACCTGAACCAGGGCAGGTGTAAGCCTACCCCCATCTCTAATCTTTCTAGCTGTCTGTCCCTAGAAGCCTCACAATGGACTCTAATGGTACGAAACCCTTTTGTCCCAACACTGGTGCGTTCTTGTGACCCTAGGGGTGTGTGTATAAATGCACATGCTCAATGGGGGAGGGTCAGAGTGGACCCAGACCAGCACTCCTTGTGCCCACACACCTGTACGAAGAGGTGATGTCAGGTGTTTGTATCATCCTTGGGCTCTGGGGACATGGGATGAGCTCACCTCCCACAGGCTGTACTCAGCTGCTAATGAAGTCCTCCTATATTGACCTAGCCCTGGCCCATCTTTGCCTCCAAAGACAGGCTGGTTTAAGGGGACTCTGTGGACAGGTGGGCAGGTATAGAGCTCTGACAGACAACATGACTGTATGAATGGTTGTATCCTGATTGTGCTGGATGGCAGCACAGCTTCCCAGGCTTCAACACCATGTCTGATCTTCAAGCCTCTGGTTCCTTTGACCTCTCAATCCTAACTCCCTCTGCCTTCTCTTCCACCATTCCTACTAATCTTAGGCCCATCTGTACTTGCGTCTCTGGTAGTCTGCTGGTTTGGCGCCTGCTAGAGTGCAAGGCTTCCTAGACAAGGAATGCTTGCTTGCAACTGTTCTGTGCCTCCTGCCCGCTGGATGGGCCATCAGGGTTTGGCTGGACCCTGATGTGGGCAATGGGTAGCAGAACAAAGGAGGAAACAGCAGCTGAGAAAGGTGGGATAGAGGAAGTGACCAGCTCTGTGCCAGAGGTGCCACTGACCCTGAATGAGAACCATCAGTCAGATGGCTTCCTCTGGCCGGAAGCTGTGGCTGAGATATCCTTCCTTCCCCCTTACCAGCCCAGATTTGCTTCCTCCCAGATTGAAGAAGGCCACGGAAGCCTGGATGGGTGGAGCTTCTGAGCCAAAGGCTATTCAACAAAAGTCCTTATGGCCAAGGGAGGGGGGGGGTTTGGCTGTCATCTCTGTGTGGGGTGCTAGCTCTAGTGGAGAGCTGTGGTGATGAGGCCCAGGGGACCATTGGACTAAAGAAGATTGATCCTGGGGATTCCTAGAACTCCAGGGAGGCCATCATCCACAGCCTGCTCATCCCCACCTTGTCCCTGTTCCTACAGAGCTGGCCACAGTAGTGCGGCGGTTCTCGCAGTCAGGTATTCAGGACTTCCTGACCCTGACCCTAACGGAGCGCTCTGGACTCCTGTACGTGGGGGCCCGTGAGGCTCTGTTTGCCTTCAGCGTAGAGGCCCTGGAGCTGCAAGGAGTGGTGAGAGGTGGGGCAGTGGGAGGCACACTGGGGGGAGAGGGAAGAACTCAGGGGGCGTGGCCTTCACAGGCTATCCCTTAGCCCAGATGTCCCTCTTGGTAGCAGGATTAACAAATGGGTTCTGCCATGGTGGGATAGTTTGGGGCTTTTGTCAGGATGGGGACCTGTCACCTGTGGTAGAACTCTGAGCAGTTTGTGGCACATACTCAACACAGCATGTGCCTGTGACGTTGCTGATGTGCTCTTCCCTGTCCTCAGATCTCCTGGGAGGCCCCAGCTGAAAAGAAGACTGAGTGTATCCAGAAAGGGAAGAGCAACCAGGTAGGTGCCTGGGCACTGCCCTGCCTGGCCTTTGAGTGCTGGCCTCCCTCCCATTCTGGGTCCTGGCCATCCCTTGACTCTGGCTCTCGAACTCTTACTAACTGGGTGCCTTTCTCTCTGAAGACGGAATGCTTCAACTTCATTCGCTTCCTTCAGCCATACAACACTTCCCATCTGTACGTCTGTGGTACCTACGCCTTCCAGCCCAAGTGTACCTATATTGTAAGTGCTGCCCCTCTCTTTGGATGTGCCCCTTACCTGTCTGTCCTCAACCTCTGTGACTTCCTTCCCTGGACTCCCAGACCTTGATCTCCCAGGCTCTGCAGGGCCCTGTACTCATGCCTGCCTTTACTGTCTCCCTGCTGCTAGGACATGCTTACTTTCACCTTGGAGCGTGGAGAGTTTGAGGACGGAAAGGGCAAATGTCCCTATGACCCAGCTAAGGGCCATACTGGACTTCTTGTGGGTGAGTGGCTGCCTCCAATGCAGACAGGGAAAATCCCGTGGAACTTGGTCAGTCACACCATGAACAGTTGTCTGTCTTCAGAGTACATTTTGCTTCTATCCTCATTGACCTGCTCTGTCTTCCATAGATGGTGAGCTATACTCAGCCACACTCAACAATTTCCTGGGTACGGAGCCTGTTATCCTGCGCAACATGGGGCCCCACCACCCTATCAAGACTGAGTACCTGGCCTTTTGGCTGAATGGTAAGTCTTGGAGAATTGGGGGAGCCAAGACTGGGGGGGCCTGTGAGGGCCCTGGGACCCGACCACTGATCCTCCCTACTTTGCCCCAGAACCCCACTTTGTAGGCTCTGCCTATGTCCCTGAGAGTGTGGGAAGCTTCACAGGGGACGATGACAAGATCTACTTCTTCTTCAGTGAGCGGGCATTGGAGTATGACTGCTATGCTGAGCAGGTGGTGGCTCGTGTGGCCCGTGTCTGTAAGGTACCAAGTTCCGCAGTGGTGGGCAGTGGGAACTCTACCAGCTTGGCAGGGGCTGACCAGCCATGTCCTCCTTGCCATCTGCCAGGGCGACATGGGGGGCGCACGGACCCTGCAGAGGAAGTGGACAACATTCCTAAAGGCACGGCTGGTGTGCTCAGCCCCTAATTGGAAGCTCTATTTCAACCAGCTGCGGGCGATGTACACCCTGCAGGGTGCCTCCTGGCACAATACCACCTTCTTTGGGGTGTTTCAAGCACGATGGTAAGTGGCCCAGGCATAGCTGGAAGTGGGGAGGAGCAAATGGCCAGATCAAGGATGGTGTGTGGGTGTGAGGGCCTATACAGGCTTTTGGGGAAGTCCAGCTGGTCAGTGTCCAAAAGCCAAGAACACTGGGCACCTGCCTTTTTTTTAAAGCTCTGTGGAGGAGGGAAGCAGGGCATTGCCCCAGGTGATATTTTAGACCTACTATGTGGCTGGCCATAACTGCTTGCACTAAGCGCTGCCTACCTAGTGCTAACCTGGGAGCTGGGGTATGGGTGGGGTAAGGTGGGGACCAGACCTGACTTTCAGGGTCTCTCCTTTGCTGCAACAGGGGTGATTTGGACCTGTCAGCAGTCTGTGAGTACCAGTTGGAACAGATCCAGCAGGTGTTTGAGGGACCCTACAAAGAATATCGTGAACAAGCCCAGAAGTGGGCCCGCTATACTGACCCTGTCCCCAGTCCTCGGCCTGGTTCGGTGAGTCCATGGGGTAGGAATGTGAGCCTAGTATCAGCTCCAGGATCCATTTGTCCAGCTGATGATTCTCCTCCCTACATCCTCTCTTCACATAGTGCATCAACAACTGGCACCGCCACAATGGCTACACCAGTTCCTTGGAGCTGCCTGACAATACCCTCAACTTCATCAAGAAGCACCCACTGATGGAGGACCAGGTGGTGCCTCGGTGGGGCCACCCCCTGCTTGTGAAGAAGAACACTAACTTCACACACCTGGTGGCTGACCGGGTCACAGGGCTTGATGGAGCCACCTATACAGTACTGTTCATTGGTACAGGTAGGTACCTGGGTGTGCCCAAAGCAGGGAGCTTAGAGATGCCCCAGCCTTGTCATTTATACCTCCCTCCCCCCCATCTTTCCAGGAAACGGATGGCTTCTGAAGGGTGTGAGCCTGGGACCCTGGGTCCACATGGTTGAGGAGCTGCAGGTGTTTGACCAGGAGCCTGTGGAAAGCCTGGTGCTGTCTCAGAGCAAGGTAGTAAGATGGGCCTCACATACTGCCTGCTGTCTGTAACACCATCTATCTCAGCCCTTGTCCTTCTGCCTTTTCCACTTGGGCTCATGTGCTTGGCCAGCTCAGCACCCCTCACTTAGCTCTGGCAAGTTCCAGGAGGTAAGAGCACTAATGGAATGGAACCTGCCTTCCAAGGGTTCTTTATATATAGCCAGTTCCTGTGGGGCCACATTCCCAGAATCCAGCCTTGGCAACAGCCCTTAAGTTTTTGTTAGACCCCTCCAAGTGGGGTTTCAGCTCTGCCTACAGCCTCTTCTCAATCATGCCCTGGTTGACCAGACCTCCCAGGCTGCTAGATGTATTTGGTACCCTTGCAACAGGGAGTGTTGGTTTTCTCCCAGTCCCCAGTGGATCTCTGGGCCAATCCTTCTACTTCCTCAATTGTTTTCCCTGAAGTGCTTACATTTTTCTTTTACCCTCATGCAAAACTGCCTGTGTTATCTGCAGCACCCTCTGGACTTTGATTTGTTTGCTTCTTACCAGCTATTGTCACTCAAAATTGTTCCCCAGAACATGAATAATGGAAGCAAGAAAAGTGTAGGGCTGAACAAACACATAGATTGGCAGTCACCATTTAAAGAGAGGAAAACACCTTAGGCTGGTGCTGGTGTTATTGTGTGGGCTGCTGGGCTGGAGGAAAGTGAGTTTCCTGAATGGTGTGTGAGCAAGTGTGATTACTTACACCTTGGCCTCATAGGTCTGCTGTTCCTGTCTAATAAGGTCATGTCTGTAAAGTAGGATTGCGCTGGCTTGTAGTAAGCCCTCAGCGAGTTAGTTCCTTAGGCCAGGCTGGGATTTCCTCTAAAGGCCTTCCCTTCTGCCTTCTTCCTCCTTGGGTATCTACTGTGCTTAAGTTCCTTGCCCAAGTCCCATCTACCCTGTGCTGGATCCTGCCTGGCTGTCCTCCCACAAGTGTGGCATTACTCAATCTCCTGTGCCTGATTTTTCTGCAGAAGCTGCTTTTTGCTGGCTCTCGCTCTCAGCTGGTTCAGGTGCCCCTGGCAGACTGCAGCAAGTACCTCTTCTGTGTAGACTGTGTCCTTGCCCGAGACCCCTACTGTGCCTGGAACGTCAACACCAGCCGCTGTGTGGCCACCAGTGGCCACTCAGGGTAAGTCGGGTGCTCTATGAGTGCTGGGGCCAGGAGTGGAAAAAAAAGTGGTTAGAGTATGGCTGCTGATGCCCACCATTTCCCTACCAGGTCCCTTCTGATCCAACATGTGACAGTTGTGGACACCTCAGGAATTTGTAAGCAGCCAGGCATTAGGAATGGTGAGCTGGTTTCCCCCTCCCCCACCATAGCCAGAGCTGGGGTGTCTCATCTTCCTGTTGGGCCTGGGTTTCCTGTGCTAATGCTCCATTCTCTCTCCTTTCTGCCTCTACAGTCAGGCCTGCTCCCAAAAACATTACAGTGGTAACGGGCACAGACCTGGTATTGCCCTGCCACCTTTCATCCAACTTGGCCCATGCCCACTGGACCTTCAGAGGCCGGGACCTGCCTTTGGAACAACCTGGCTCCTTCCTCTATGATACAGGACTTCAGGCCCTGGTAGTGGTGGCTGCCCAGTCCCGCCACGCGGGGGCCTACCACTGCTTTTCAGAGGAGCAGGGAGCACAGCTGACCGCAGAAAGCTACCTGGTTACTGTTGTGGCAGGCCCTTCAGTGACCCTGGAGGCCCGGGCCCCCTTGGAAAACCTGGGGCTGGTTTGGCTAGCTGTGGTGGCCCTAGGGGCCGTGTGCCTGGTGCTGCTGCTGCTGGTTCTGTCACTGCGTCGTCGTCTGCGAGAAGAGTTGGAAAAAGGTGCCAAGGCAGCTGAGAGAACCCTGGTGTACCCCCTCGAGCTTCCCAAGGAACCAGCCAGCCCCCCCTTCCGTCCTGGGCCTGAAACAGATGAGAAACTTTGGGATCCTGTTGGCTACTACTACTCAGATGGCTCCCTCAAGATTGTGCCTGGACACGCCCGGTGCCAGCCTGGGGGTGGTCCCCCATCTCCACCACCTGGCATTCCTGGCCAGCCCCTGCCTTCTCCAACTCGGCTTCACCTGGGGGGTGGGCGGAACTCAAATGCCAATGGTTATGTGCGCTTACAACTAGGAGGGGAGGACGGAGGAGGGCTTGGGCATCCGCTACCAGAGCTTGCTGATGAACTGAGACGTAAACTACAGCAGCGTCAGCCACTGCCAGACTCCAACCCCGAGGAGTCCTCAGTATGAGGGGAACCCCCCCCACCACATCGGCAGGGGATGCATGGGAGGTGCACTCCTACTTTTGCACAGGCACCAGCTACCTCAGGGACATGGCACGGGCACCTGTTCTGCCTGGGATGGACACTGCCCAGCACTTGCCCCGCCATGAGGACCTGCTCAGCATGGGCACTGCCACTTGGTGTGGCTCACCAGGGCATCAGCCTCACAGGAGGTTTTACCCTCCTCTGTGAATCTTAGACATGTGAGACCCCAGCAGCCAAAACTTTGCAAGGCAAAAGTTTCAAGATGTGTGTGTGTGTGTGTGTGTGTGTGTGTGTGTGTGTGTGTGTGTGAGAGAGAGAGAGAGAGAGAGAGATAACCTTCCTGTCTGTCCAGTCTTCCCTTGGCCTGGGGTCCTCCTGGTGAGTCTTTGGAGCTATGAAGGGGAAGGGGGTTTGTACCACTTTGCCTCTCCTACCCCCCATCTGTCCCAAGTGAATTTGGGGCAAGGATGTACATATGGGGGTGGGAGGGACAGGGTGCTGTACCCCTTTAGGGAGAGTGCAGGGCTCAGTGGTGGGCCCAGTCCTGCTCCTAGGCTAGGGCTGTGAATGTTTTCAGGGTGGGGGGAGGGAGATGGAGCCCCTGTGTGGGGGTAAGGGCGGGCAGGGACTCCCACTTGGCCCCCTGGGTTCAGTGGTATTTTGTACTTGTGCTCTTCTGGACAGGGCTGGGAAAGGTGTGGGGGGAGGGAAGGGAGAAGGTGAACATGCTGTGGATACTGGCATAGCCTCTCCCAGCTCTAAGGGCTCCTAACAGTGTAACTTATTGTGTCCCCACATATTTATTTGTTGTAAATATTTGAGTATTTTTATATTGACAAATAAAATGGAGAAAATGAAACTTAACCTGTAGTACAGATAAAGCATTTGGACTAAAACCCAAATGTTTAGGTTGTACCAACAAGGGAACCATCCTTTAGGTTGGCCAAGGATGGACTTCGTCCCCCTACCCCAATAGGGTTGCATGCCTGCCTGTGCCCCTCTCTGAAGGGGACAGCCCAGACTCAATGTTTTCCCACAGTGGTGCCTGTGGGGCTGGGAACAAGACCAGGGATACATCCCCTTGGGAGCCAGTCTTGGCTTCTGGCCACCAAAGTCAGGGCATTGGGGGAAGAGGAGGAGAAAGGGGTTTGTCTTACCAGAATGGGAGCAGGGAGTGGAGGGGGCTGAAGGAGGGGACTTCCTGGAAATTGCTTAAGGTTGTGTGACTGACTGGTTGTATGAGATGGGAAGAGACTACTTACAGCCTTCTGCGCTCCACGAATGCTAGTGTCCAGTGCCCCATCTGTGTAGAGAAGAACCGGTCCCTAGTGCCACCCAGCGAGTTCCAAACCCTTGTTCTAGTGAGGGAGTGGCACAGGACCAGATGTTACTGGGGAAAACAACAGGGCCAGCCTGAATTGATTTCTGAGTGTCCTAGATGGGAGTTGCCGGGCAATGGAGTTACAAAAAAAAATAGGGGGAAAAAAAAACCTATGTTTAAAGTAGGTTTACGATTTTGTTTTGTAGCCTCATTCGATGCTATTGTTGGCCGCAGGTTAGACACGCCTGGTTTAGTCGAATCTAACCCATGCCCTGGGACAAAGACCATGACAGTTGAGGGCTCCCCTTACACAATTGCAGCTTGAGCTGGCTGCTGCCCTGCTTTCCCCGAGTGTGGGTCAGACCTGAGTGCGCTACCCCTAGCTCAGATGTCAGCCCTTGTTGATGTTGGCAACTAGAGCCCATTGCGGGTGCAGAGGGTTCAGTACAAAAGCGGCCACTTGCCCTCTGGCCGCTTGTTTCCTACTGGATTGTTGAAGGATGGGGGGCAGGGTGTCCAAGGCCTTCCTGGCGGTCACTGCGCCGCCCACGGATGGCCTGGACCTGGGATGACGCTGCGAAGAGAAGGGAAGGGCCCTTGTCCACGCCCGGAGGCCCCAGGCCCTGGGGAGCCCTGTGGGTACAGGGCCGTAACGGGAAGGGCCGACGGGAAGGCCTCGGTTCTGGAGAACGCAACTTAGACTCCGCTTGCTAGGCCAGACCTCACAGCCACCCCGCGCCGGGCCTCCCGCGCTTAGCTAGCCTCGAGCGCCCTCTCGCGGTGGCGGAGGAGTGAGGCTCGTCCCAGCAAGCCCCGCCCGCCCCTGCTATTGGTTGTTGGGCTACAGTGTAAGAGTCAGATTGGTTCGCTCAGGGGAGGAGGCGGGACTCAGACCAACTACTGAAGCCGAGTGGTCAGACTGGGACAGCTGGGCGGGCGCTCCGGCGGGGCGGCAGGGCGGCCAGGCGTCTGGCTGGCAGTGATGGCGGCGTCGCAGCCCCACGGGGACTGTTCCTGTTGCTCACACCCTGGTGCTGTATCCGTGGTGCAGCAGACGCTGGAGGAGATGGACTTCGAGAGGGGTGAGACAGCCACGCGGCGGGCACTTCCCAGGCTCCGCCATGGACGCGGGCCGCAGGAGGAGGCAGGGAGCCGAGCCCGGCGCTTCGGGACTTGATGCGGGAGGGTGGGCTGCCAACCGCGGGCGGGAACCCAGCGGGGCCTGGGTCAGCCACCCTAGCGCGCGCGCGCAGACGGGGAAACGGAGGCATTGGTTTCCGAACTGGATCTGAAGATGAACACAGCTTGGAGACACAAGCCTGCTCAGGTGTCAGAGGGGCCAGGAGCAGAATCTGCAGGTTGTGGATTCTGCTGGAAGGTCAGGGTTGCTGACCCTTGTGTGAGTGCACGTGCTTTAGAAAGGACAAGCTGGAAGCAGGTGACTTCATCTTTACATGCGGAGCCCAGCAATGTAACTTTTGCCCCAGATCATACAGAGATTTTGCTGCCAGGAAGGAAGGCTAGGGGTTCCAGGGTCCCTTTTCTCTGTGCTTGGAACCGCTGTGCTTCTTGCCACGTTGTCTCTGCTCACAGTCAGCTTTATGTAGCCATAGCAACGCTGTCAGCTGTTATGGGGCAGGCACTGCACATACACTTGTCCATTGCCTTTGAAATGGTTCCCGCACCTGCTTGCTTCCTGCACTTCTGCCATTCTCTGCCTTAAGGAAATAGGACTTCCCATTTCCTCTCATGGCCTCTTTGGAAGACTGTAAATAAGATCGTTTCATTTCCTATTGCTTTTAGAATACAGCCAAATTCCCTGTTGTAGCCTACAAAGCTCTGTTTCCATACCTTCGTTCGAGTAACCATCCCTGTGTTTCCTTTGGGCTTCTCTGTATGCAAGACCTTTGCCTGCCTGATTAAGTCCGTCCATTGCGTTTGCTGTCCAGTTTCCTTAGAGTCAGCTTCCTGCAAACTGCAGGCTAACTCAAGCCTTTTCCTTCAGATCTCAGCTTTATGACTTTTCTCCAGCGATATCTTCTTAGAACATTCTGGAGTTCTCAACTGGGGCTGGTTATGCCCCATAAGGGTCGTTGGCAATGTCTAGAGACATTTAAAAAAATATATTTTCTTTCTTTTTTTTTTTTTTATGTGTATGAGTGTATTGCCTGCATGTATGTGAGTGCACCCGTGTAGTGCAATGCCTGTGGAGGACAGAAGAGGCTGTTGGATCTCCTGGAACTGGAGTTAGGGACAGTTGTTAGTTGCCATGTGGGTGCTGGGATTCGAACCTGGGTCTTCTGCAAGAACAAACAGTGTTCTTAATCACTGAGCCATCTCTCCAGCCCCTAGAGACATTTTTTTTTTTTTTTTTTAATGTCACAGTTATCCTGCCATGCATGGGACAGCTCCCTACAACAAAAAAGGACCTGGCCCCAAATGTCAGCAGTATTACGGCCAGGAAGGAAACTGTCATAGTCAAAGCTGGACCCTCTAGATTACTGTGATACCTGAGTACCATGTTCCCATTAAAGCAGTTTGGATTGACTCTAAGGCTGAGGCAAGAAGACTACAAATTTGAGGCTAGTGTGAGCCACACTGTATAGTGAGACACTGTCAAACAAACAACCCCCCCCAAAAACCAAACCCAGAAACAAATAAAAAGCAGTTTGTACCATCTGATACTATTTTGTCTGCCTATTCATTTATTATTTCCCACACATGATAAAGATACTTTATTTTGTGATTTTTTTTTCTTCACATTACATTGTTTTTAAATTTTGATTTATTTATTTTGGTGATTGGCTTTGTTTTTGAAATAAGGTCACATGTAGCCCAGGCTGGCCTCAAATTTGTTATGTACCCAAGAATGACCTTGAACTCCTGATCTCCCTGCCTCTGCCTCCCAAGTGCTGGAATTACTACAGGCATACACTACCACCCTGCTTCATTTTTTTTTTCTACAGTTTATTTTTTTTCCAGAAAAATTCTAGGATGACAGTTTTGTTTTGTTTTTTTCATTCAATACTTTAGGAATGTTATTTATCTGCTTGTACCAGCTACAACTTAATCTTAAAATTAATCTTAATCTTTTAATCTGCTGATAATCCGATTATTGTTTTATTTCTTTTTTTTTTTTTTTTCTTTTGAGACAGGGTCTGAATACTGTGTAGCCCAAGCTGGCCTGGTATTACCAGGTAGATCATCCAGGCCTTGAATTCATGGCTGTCTCCCTACCTCAGACTTTTGAGAGCTGAGATGACAGACATGAGCCACCATGCTCAGATAATTATTTTTAACAAGTGATGATCTTTTTTTCACAAATTTTAAATGTTTTTCTTGATTTGTTTTTATTAATCCTCCTTGAAGTTTAATGTGATTCTTCTTCAGATTACTTCTCTTTTATTTCTGTATAATTCTGATTTATTTATTTATTTATTTATTTATTTATTTAACCTTTTTGAGATAGTCTCCCTGTAACTCCAGCTGTCCTGGCACTCACTATGTAGACCAGGCTGGCCTTGAACTCATAGCTATCCACCTGCCTCTGCACCACCACGCCCAGCTTCCGTATAATTCTTATATCTCTTCAAACAGTATCTCTCCCCCGATATACCCACCACCCATCTGTCTGTCACTCCTAGAAATAGGTACTTTCTGGGCTGGAGAGATGGCTCAGTGGTTAACAACATTGGCTGTGCGTGCAGAAGACCTGGGTTTGTATCCCAGCACCCACATGGCAGCTGTCAACTGTCCGTAACTCCAATCTCAGGGGATCCAACAGCGTCTTCTGTCCTCCAAGGGCATTGTATGACACGGTGCACCTACCTACATGCAGGCAATACACACATACACATAAAAAATATTAAAAAAAAGAAATATGTACTTTCTGTCTTCTAAGTTTCTTTACCTCTTTCCACATTTTTCTCATTATTTTGTGCTGCATTCCAAGTTGACTGGAATTCTGAGTGGACTGCAAACCACAAATTCTATCTTCAGCTGGGTCTGTAATATTGTACAACCTATTCATTGTTTTATTTCAGTCATTTTACTTAAAAATCTTTTATTATGTTTATTTATTTGGCGTGGGATGTGGAGGTCAGAGGACAACTTTCTGGAGTTGATTCTCTCCTTCCATCATGTGGGTCCTGGGGATCTAACTAAGGTCATCACGCTTGGTGGCAGGTACTTTGACCTGCTGAGCCATCCACCAGCACTTCGATGGCATTTTGAGGCATGCTTTTTCCTATTTGCATGTGTTGGCTGTGGATGGTTTCCTGTTTGACAGCTTTTAGTCTTTGCGCTTACCAAGGGGATCCTCCTTTGTGGGAGATTCTCACACTGCCTTGTCTGGAAGCATCTTTTTTTTTTTTTTTTCCTTCTGCCTGGCCCAGAGTTCACTTGTCTGGATTGGCTTTTTGTTTTTTTGTTTTTTAAGGTTATTTGTTTTGTGTGTATATGGGCACACATACCACAGTGTGCATTGTGCATATAGAGATCAGAGGACAACTTACAGGAGTCAGTTCTCCTTCCACCATGTGGGTCCTAGGGATTCAATTCAGGCCATCAGACTTGTGGCAAGTGCCTCTCTCACTGGCCCCTGGATCAGCTTTTATGACAGATCCAGATTTTAAGTTTCTTAGTGTGAGATTTTTGCCCCCTGGGGGTAAGAAATGCAGCTATACTCAGGCTTCTGAGCTGCATAGCTCAGGGGATCTGATTTTTCAGGTTTCTTTATCCTTTACACATCTTTTGGAATGGTGTCTCTTCTGTTTCTTTATGTTTCTACTTACATTGTTATCAGAGAGGCCATTGCTGCCCACTGCTTATAACCATTTCCCAATCGTACTAGTACCACCTGAGTACTTTTTAAATATACATAAGTATGCATAAAACATATGGATTATATATTAGTTACTTTTGTGTTGTTGTTATAAAATACCATGCCCAGACCTTAAAGAAAAAAGTGTCTGTTTTGACTTCTGGTTCTAGAGGGACAGAGTCCATCATGGCAGGGGAGGCATGGCATGGTGGCAGGAGCAGGAAGCTGGCTGATCACATTTCTGTCCACACACAGGAAGGAGAGAGAGAGACAGAGAGAGAGAGAGAACAAGCACAAGAAGTGCATCAGGGCTATAAACCCTCAAAGCCTGCCCCCAATGACAGACTTCCTCCAGTAAGGTTCTACCTCCTAAAGGCTTCATAGCCTCTCTAAACAGTATCACTAACCATAAACTGGTTAGTTGACCAAGTGTTCAAATACAAGAGCCCATGGGGGACATACCTTATTCAATATTCAAACCACAAGTTATATATAAAATATAGCTTATATATAAATGTATAACATATAGAAGACAAACATACATTTGTGTGTGTGTGTCTGTGTGTGTGTGTGTGTGTGTTTGGCTAGCCTGAATTGCACTTCGTAGACTAGACCAGGCTGGCCTTGGCCTCGAACTCAGAGATCTACCTGCCTCTGTCTCCCAAGTGCTGGGACTAAAGGTGTGTACCAACATGCCCAACCCGTATATTTTTATTCTCATCAGATCCCCAGTGCCTACAACAGTCAAAGTACATAATAAATACAAGTTGAATATCCCTTATCCCAAATGAGACTAAAATAGTTTGGAGTTTTTTTTCCCCCAGATTTTGGAATATTTGCATATACATGCTAAGATATCTTGGGGACAGGACCCAAGTCTAAACACGAAGATCATTTATGGGTTTTCTTTGTTTTTGAGACAGTCTCACTGTGTAGCCTTGGCTGGCCTGGAATTTGCTGTGCAGATCAGGCTCACCTCAAACTCACAGAGATTAGCCTCTGCCTCCCAAGTACTGGGATTAAAGACAAGTGCCACCACGCCTGGCCATTTATGTTTTCTATGTACCCTTTAATTTTAGTGTTCTTCATGCACCTGTATTTTCATTACAACCTATCACATCCTCAAAAGTCGGGTGTGGAATTGTTCACTTGTAGCATCACATCAGCTCTCACAAAATTTCAGATTTTGGAGCATTTCAGACTTTAGATTTCTGGATTAGAGATGCTATTCTGTATCCAGTAAATGCTGCTTAATGAATGAAATGGTTGGGCATGGGCAGCTTGCTTCCTACCTCCCTTCTTCATGCCCAGAGCCACACATATAGCCTTTAGCTAGCACACACACCATACCCCTCTCAGTCACTGGCACCAAGGCCCCTGAGGTGTATGCCCAGTTTGAGTGTCTTTCGGTTCTGCAGCTTTAGGGCCTCTTACCACATTGGCTGTGGTTTTAACTTTGTTTCTGGCACTTGGTGATTTCCTTACTTAAGAATTTGACTTTACATCCACACATTTTTAACGTTTGTTTGATTGAGACAGGGTCTTACTCTAGCCCAGGCTGGCCTCATGAGAACTCATGTGCTTCTTTCCTCAGCCTCCTGAGTGGTGGATCTCAGGTATGCACCACCATGTCCAGCTGTATTTGCATGTCTAAGTGGGAGGAAGGGGTTTTTGTACTTGCCCTATCCTACTCCTGACTAGGCAAGCCCTTTTCTGTCCTGTTCCCAGCTATGTCACCAGCACTGAGAACAATTCTTGGCACAGAGGAAGGATTCAATTGGCATTTGTTGAATAAACAAGTACTCTCTAACTTATAGATGTGACAACTTCAGTTGAGAGGTAGAAGGACTGGACAGATGACTCAGTGGTTAAAAGCACTGACCTTGCAGAGGACCCAGGTTCAGTTCCCAGCACCCACAAGGTGGCTCATAACTGGCTGTAACTCCAGTTCCAGGGAATCCAACACCCTCTTGCCTCTACAGGCAGTGGGCATGCACGTGGTGTGTATACATACTTGCAGAAACTCACATATACATAGAATAAAATCTTTTTTTTTAAAGGTAGAAGAAATCGTGTTTTAATAAATGTCATTGTGGGGATGGAGAGATGGCTCAGGGTTAAGAGCACTGGCTGCTCTTGCAGTGGACCCAGGTTCAGTTCCTAGCACCCACATGGCAGCTAACAAATGTCTGTAAGTAATTTCAGTTCCAGGGGATTGGATGCCCTCTTCTGACCTTCACGGACATTGCACGACTCGGGTGCACTCACATACATGCAGGCAATACACTCATACACATAAAATAATAATAAATAAAATATTAAAAAAAATAAAAATGTCACCATGTAGCATGGCTTAGTGGTTTGGCTGGCTTTCTGCAGGAATCTGGTCGGCAGCCCTGAATGGAGACCTGGGCCGAGTGAAGTATTTCATCCAGAAGCCCACAGACCCTAGTCAGCCTGACTCCGCAGGATACACCGCATTGGTGAGCTGGGACAAACAAAGGCTGTGAAAGGAGGAAAGCTTTAACTCTGGGTTACCCCGTTTCTGAAGAGGGCTTGGTTTTTACCTTGTTTTTCCCTCTTTTCTTCCAGCAAAGTAGTTTTTTATCTGGTTGGTTCTTGTTCTGTTTGTTGTTTTATATTTTATTGTGGGTGTGTGTGGGGGTGTTGCGTATGTGTGTGGGCATGTACATACCACAGTAAACATGTGGAGGTCAGAGGACAACTTTTGGGAATAATTTCGCTCTTTCCACCATGTGAGTTCTGGGGCTCAAACTCAGGCATCAGGCTTCTCTGCAAGCATCTATCTACCTGCTGAGCCATCTCACTGTCCCTTGTTTTTTAAGCAAGGTTTCACTGTAGGCCAGGCTGGCCTTGAAGCCATGATCTTCCCATTTTTACCTCCTGAGTGCTGAGATTATGGACATCTGCCACCATGCCTCACTTTAATGTTTGTTGTTTTGTATTTGAGATAGTCAAACTTGCTGTATAAACAAGGATGACCTTGAACTTTTGATCCTCCTGCCTCCTGCCAAGTGTTATGATTACAGACACAAGCTGGTGCAATCTTGCCTGGTTTACGCAGTGCTGGGGATTGAACTGAGAGCTTTGTGCATGCCAGGCAAGCATCCTACTAAATGAGTTACATTCCCAGCACCAAAGTTTTTCTCTCTTTGTGGGTTTAATTTTTTTTTTTTTTTTTTTTGCATCATGTATACCCTGGTATTTGAATTAGTAAAAGAGCTTCACATCCATTACTTAATTTCATTTTTATGACAGTCCTGACAGGAGTGTTTATCTGCCTTTTCCAGTTGAAGACACTGATGGTAAGAGTGAAGCAGCTTGCCCAGGCCAGGAAGTTGCTGTAGGTTGCCTCTAAGATGACGTCAGGCCTCAAGATGATGCCAGGCCTCTTGCTGTGGAGTCAGTGTTCCCACTATCCCGTTGTCTTTGTCACCTGCCAGAGTTCTGCTGTCTGACCTCAGTCTCTGCCTCCTGCAGCACTATGCCAGTCGCAATGGGCACTATGCTGTCTGCCAATTTCTGCTGGAAAGTGGAGCAAAGTGTGATGCCCAGACCCGTGGGGGTGCCACGGCTTTGCACCGAGCCAGCTACTGTGGGCACACGGAAATTGCACGGCTACTGCTCTTGCACGGGTCCAACCCCCAGCTGGTAGATGATGATGGCATGACCAGTCTGCATAAGGTATATCCCTGTTCCCCTTGTGAAACTTTCTGTTCCTTAAAATTATGATCTTGCTGTGACAAAATCTTAACAAAAGTTGTATGTGTTACATTTCACACTTGGAGTAGTTTGACCAAGAGCGGGCCCAATCTGTTCTGACTTCAGAGGTGTTTTCTCAGATGTCTGTTCTATTCTTCCTTTTAACAAACGGCTTCCTCTATTTTTTGTTTGTTGGTTTTGTAGCCCCAGCCAGCCTGGAACTCTGTATGTAGACCAGGCTGGCCTCAAACTCACAGAGATCTACCTGCCTCTGCCTCCCAAGTGCTGAGATTAAAGGTGTGCACCACCACACCTGGCTATCCTCTCATTGTGAACAGCATGTCAAGCATGGTATGATAAAGGTACAAACAGTCTTGGTAACAGTTTTACAAAGGAAGAAACTTTATCTGACCTACTGACTCAGAATAGCACACAAACCCACAGAAAGATGCCATTGACCTATGCCCTTATGTGCTTGCAACATTTGTTGGGGAGATGTTGCTTTAAATTGTGTAACTGTCATGTACACAGGGATTGTTCTGAGTCAAGGGCATAACTGAGTCAGGATAGGGAACATAGTATAAGATTAGAGCTATGTCTCAAGCTAATCTTGTAAGAATTAATGACATCGGGATTCCAAATCATTGTGGGACTGATTACGTTGTCTTGTTTTAGAAGGAATACATAGTTGTAAATGTTCCCAAAACATATGATTAACCTTGGTTTACAAGGTTATGTAAAATTTCAATTTGTAAGGGCGTGTTACAAAGAATCTTTCCCATATTCCCAAGTCATTTCCACAAAAAGTAACTCAAGGAAGGGTTTAATTTTGTCTTAGAGTTTAGGTGGGGGATACAGTGCATCCCTGAGGGAAGGCATGGCAGTAGGACGGAGGGACAGGAACAGCATGGTATTGGTAATTTTTTTTAACGTTTATTTTTTGTGTATGTGCATGTGTGTGTGTGTGTGCATGTTCATATGTGCACACACTCATGCCATCATGCAGAGGTCAGAGAACAACTTGAGGGAGTCATTTTCTCTACAATGTAGGTCTTAGGGATCAAACTCAGGTTGTCAAGTTTGGTGGCAAATGCCCTCATCTGCTGAGCCACCTCACTGGCTCTCATTGTATCTGTAGTTGGGAAGAGCAATGGATGCTGGTGCTCAACTCAGTTTGTTATTTTTCTTCACCCAGGACCCCAACCCTTGTGATGCCAACCATGATCAGGGTGGGTCTTCCCCCTCAGTTAAATCTTTCTAGAAGTGCCCTCACACCCAGAGATGTGTCTCTCTCTTAGGTGATTCTAAATCCATGTAGTTGACAGTCAAGGTTACCCATCACAATGATTATTGTAGAAAACAGAAAATACAGGAAAGAAAATAAAAATCACCTGGAAGCTCAGTGCTCACATATCATCACTTTAGGGTTAATGTGTAATTTTCTAGCCTTCTTCCTCTGTGTGTAAATTAGTTCCCTTTCTCTTAGTGGTGTGTTATGAAAGCTTACCCATGTAATTAGCTTTCTGAAACTTGAGCTATTCCTGCCTATCCCTACAACCCTATCCTTATGACTTTATAGGTCATAGATAGACTGATCTTTTCCTTAAGTCTTCTAGGCCTTTCCTCCAGGCATCTGCTTTACCAACTGCTTGTGCATCTTTTTTTTTTGCAGTGCAGGGGATTGCTAGGCAAAGCACTTACCACTGAGCTATATCCCCAGCCCACTTATGCATCTTGGGTGATTTATGCATATGTGTAGCATATGTGTATAAGTAAAGAGTTCTTTCTTACTCTCACCCTGATTTTCCAATAGTGCAGTGGGTTTAAAAAGAGTTCTCAGGGCTGGAGTTAAGTCACAGGATAGATATTTACAGAAGCACACTGCAGGGCTGGGGAGATGGTTCAGAAGTTAAGATCACTGGCTGTTCTTATAGATGACCTGAGTTCAAATCCCAGCACCCACATGGCAGCTAAGAACTGTCTGTAACTCTAGTTCCAGGGGATCCAATGGCCTCTCTGTCCTCCATGAGCATTGCATGACTCAGATGCACCTACATACATACAGGCAATACACTCATACACATAAAAAAATAAATTATTTAATTAAAAAAAAAGTTTTCAGCCGGGCGTGGTGGCGCATGCCTGTAGTCCCAGCACTTGGGAGGCAGAGGCAGGCGGATCTCTGTGAGTTCGAGGCCATCCTGGTCTATATAGTGAGTTCCAGGACAGCTGGGGCTACAGGGAAACCTTGCTTCAAAAAAGACACATACACACACACACACAAAAAAAAACCAAAAAAAACCTCATCAAGCCCTACCCTCCCTGGGAACCCCCAAAGGCTGACTTCTTCCAAGTCTGGTGCCAGCCTACAAGGCCTTCTGAGTTCAGCTCTTGCCAGTCTCTGTATTCTGTTTGTTTGTTTGTTTGTTTATTTATTTAAAATCAGATTTATTTAAGAATTTCCAACAATGACAACTTTTTTAGGAGAGGGGGTCTCACTGTGTACCCCTGGAACTCACAGAGATTCTCTTGCCTCTGCCTCCTGAGTGCTGAGATTAAAGGTGTGCGCTACCATGTCTGACTTAACAACAGTAACTCTTACAAAAAACATCCAAGCATAGGACACAGAACTATAGCAAATATTAAAAAATAATTAAAACGTTTTTAAATTTTGTTTATTTAAAAAAATTTTTTAAAATTTATTTTTATTTTATGTGTATGCATGTATTGCCAGCATGTAGGTAAGTGCACCCATGTCATGCAATGCCTGCGGAGGTCAGAAGAGGCTGTCAGATACCTTGGGACTGGAGTTATGGACAATTGTTAGCTGCTATGTGGGTGCTGGGATATGAACCCGGGTCTTCTGCAAGAACAAGCAGTGTTTTTAACTGCTGAGCCATCTCTCCAGCCCTAGTTTTGTTTATTTTATGTATATGACTTTGTTGCCTGCATATAACTTTACCAATGCATGCAATATCCACAGAGGCCAGAAGAGGGCATCAGATCCCCTGGAACTGGAGTTATGGATAATTGTTAGCCACTATGTGAGTGCCAGAATTAAAGGTGTGCACCACCACACCTGGCTCTCAAAAAAATTTTTTTACTTTTTTTAGAAGAAGCATATCATTACAGCTTTAATATGCTCAATAACAGTTTCCAGAGCAAAGATACAGCTCTTTCAAAAGTGGCTATAAAATTTTTAGGTTCGCTGTTGAGTTAATACAGTTATACAATATTGAACTCAGTAGAAGCCCTGTAAGACATAAAATTGAATGAGTTTTTAACCTTTTAAAAGGATCTCTAGGACCGGGCGTGGTGGCACACGCCTTTAATTCCAGCACTTGGGAAGCAGAGGCAGGCAGAAGGCCAGCCTGGTCTACATAGCCTGGTCTACATAGCAAGTTCCAGGCTAGCTGAGATTACAGGGAGACCCTTTCTCAAAAAGAAAA